TCCAGACCATCAGTCAGGGATTTTCCATTTTTCTCTCAAGAGAGGCAAAATGAGTCCCAGTGTGGGCTGAGTGTGATCGTCACCTGGTGCTCATTTTAAAATGCCACACAAAGTCATTTTTGATGAAGAGGATCAGGGATAATGATTTTTAAAGAGGTCTCCATGTTGCAAATCAATAAATATGATTGAAGTAGGAGATGTCCACAATTTCAAAAGGCTACTCATTACAGTCAGGATAGACATTAAACAAAATGGAAATTCAATGTTTTCATTGAAATCTTTCCCATCACAGATTTGGTGAAGTTACTTTACTTTAGGAAAGCTTGTGCTAAGAAAAGAAATATCCAGAAGGTCACATAGAAAATCCTGAACTGGAGAAAAGGAACTCAGACATAAATCTGCTTTCTTTGCCCTTCAACCACTTTTCTCTTACTTCCAAGACTACAGAACATTGTTATGCATGTTTTGGAAATTTTAACTTAGCAATGAACTTTCTAATGTCCTGATAGACAATGGAAAATTTCCTACAAGGCATAAAGTGGATAATTTAAGGTAGAATCAGTAAGTATATCTTTTGTAAGAAAACAACAACAAAAAAAGTCTCTTCTATTACCTCAACATAGGAGGTCACTTAAATAATGTAGAACAAAAAGCTACAACATCCTATGATATTGATTAGAATTTGTTATTCAGAAATCACACATCTCATTAGATATTAGTAAACATTATTAAACACATGTCAGCACCACTGTGTGCAGATTTGAACCATCTGTTCCTTAAATTTACAAGTCAAAATTATCTCATATATTTTAATGTAATGTTGAACTTTGATAATCAGGGTCAATCCACTCATTAGTTAGAATGCTAATATTAACTGGAAATAAAATATTTTGGCCATGCTAGTGAGTTCTCTTAAAGAAACACTGTCATAACTAAACAGATAAAAACTTTACAAGTAAGCACTTTGGACACACAAGTATCTACCATCTATATGATGGGTTTCTAAGGAAATGAATTTACATTTTATCATTAGCAGGGAGTGTGCGTGCGTGCGTGCGTGCATGCGTGCGTGCGTGTGTGTGTGTGTGTGTGTGTGTGTGTGTAATGAATTTACATTTTATCATTAGCAGGGAGTGTGTGTGTGTGTGTGTGTGTAACATGTATGTGAGTACACAAAATGCCTACTACCAGCTTTTAAAGTGCAAAATATTACTACTTTCACAGAATTTAATGAATGACAAACTGTTCTTCATTTACATTCTACTGTTTATCCTTTTGAAAAGGCAAGGCAAAGTATCCATAACACCAACAAAGCTAGGGACAACATTGCTGTCACTGAAACATTCATCCCAAAGGCTTTCTTACAGAGTGCCCTATTAATATAGGAGGCCCAGAGTATATATATGTGGTAGTGAGGAGGGAAGAGAAAGATTTGGTCCTTGAGGAAAGATCCACATGAAGCTGGTTCATCCTTTACTGTGTATAAGAGCACTACTCAACATATCTTTCTTTTATAAAGAAAGAGGTGTAGAATTTCTTTAGTTAATTGGGAAGGGGAGACTAAAAATTTTTTAGCTCAATAAAGTATTTCTATACTTTAACTATCATAAAAACCCATGCCTATACACCAACTCTAATTTTTATATACATATTATTAAAGTTTTAAGTTGATGTTTACCTTATAACTCAAATTTACTTTTGCATTTATTTGACATTTACTACAAAGCATCTTTCAAATCAGAGGTATTATAGTTACCACTCTGAAAAATAAATGTATACAAAAACATAAATCTGAATATTGAACTATAATGGGTATGGAATTCAAAATCTGTATACCAATTCCTAAATAGCAATACCAATTCTTTTAAAATCATGCATTTTTTTATACCTAAGCTTTATCTAAAAGGAAATTTAAAATAAGAATTTCAGATATAGATCATTAAATGCCACATAATTACTCAGCATGTTTGAACAGATTAAAATATTTCTTGGCTTTATACTGTCAAATAAATAGAGAGCTCCATATATGGGGGATTATCAAGAAACCAAATGCTTTATATTTGGAGTGAAAAATTTAATCACAACTGTCAAAGATCAAGCTGCTACTTCTGATAACAAACGTGATGAGATACCATCTTGTTCAATATACACTTTCAACTTGACATGCAGGCTAATAAAAAGGAAGTTGTAAGTATTTATTTTGTTTCTTGTACAACAGAAGTCTCTAAAGAATGATGATCAAAAAATGCCCCGCACCAATGCATGAATACAGACAACTTTTTATCAGCAGACAGATTAACTGGTTTGCACACGAACCGCAGTAAAACAATAAGGACTTTCACTGTATTTGTATAAGATTTTAAAATTACTATGCATCTATAACTGTATCTCAAGGAGACAATGTTTTCCACTACAAAATAATTATGACAGACTACACTACTGTAATAAAACAACTTCCCTTCATTCTTTAGCTATTTACTATTTACTATGTGCCAGACCCTGCTTTAGCCTGTTCCACATAATTAATCAGATCTAGCCTCCTGTCAACATCTCTTTGAGAAGAAGGGATGAAGGAGAATAGGCAGCCAGCTTTCAGGACATTAACTGTACTGCTGAGATGCACAACCGTAATGGATAAGTGACACACTGTGTGTTCATCAACCAACCCCGGCAGTTTTTCAGGTGCAGAACTGAGTCCTCCACTGTCTTCCTCCTCATCTTCTTTGGCTTTTTTAACTTGGTCATGTAGCTTGTCAACTTCTCCTTCAGCCTCTCACAGTCACCAAACCCTGTCAATGCCTCTCAGACTGTGAAACATGTTTACTTCTATTGATCTACTCCACCCTTCTACTGCAAGCTTCAAGGCCACTAGTTTAGCTTGGAGCTCTATCATCCCAACTGTTAGTGATATCTGTGGAGCAGACATCCAGAGGTTTTGCTAAGTGTTCTGATAAGGCAACTTAAATAAGGCCTCCCCTACAAAAGTGAGGTTAAAAAAATGGAGGGAAATAAGAGCTTGTCCCCTTTTGAGCAAACAGTGCAAGCATGCCAGCAGAAAACCAGCCAGCAGATGGCTAAAGCACATGGAGAGAGATCCACCGATTCCTCTTCTCCTACCACATCTTCCCTGTCTTTTTTCTCACTTTGATGTTTTCTGGCATAGTCATAGGGCAGGTACTACATCTCGGCCGCTCCCCAAATTTCTGGCACTAATAAGTCACCAGCTCTTCCCAATAGAACTTCCTACAGTGGTGGGAATAGGCTGAATATTTAATAGAAACATACATTCATTTGCAATGCAAATGTAGTAAATATGACTAAGGAAAGAAATAACTATGTAGTTAAGCTTAAAACTGAACTAGCAAATTTCAGTAGCAATACATCCTCAATAGGCCACTACAGCTTAACCTTCTTTCTTCCTGCAAATAGAATTACGTTCCTAAACATATCTGATCACACTACCTGGCTTACAGAACTAATGTACATCTAGAAAACCACCAGTGCAAGGCACGACTTTTAGGAATATTTATTGACTTCCTCCTTCATTCCTATTTTCCCCAATTCCTATCCCATGAAGAAGATAAAGGTACTGGACCAGTTTGTACCCACATGTGCAGTGCAATAAGCTTTAAGTCAATCTCTTTTCATTACTTATAATGTTTTCAAGAAAATACAAACTTATCTTTAATAGTCAGTTCGATTGTTTTTACCTCTGAATACTGAGCCACCACCCTCTTCCTGCTAAGCTGGTATCTCTGGACTAATTTGACTGCCATATGGTTTTGTAAACAGCTCCATTATAGCACAGAATCATCACAACATGAATAAGTAAATATAAATAAGCAAACAAATATAATTGTGGCTGACCTCTAGGGAATATGAATTCCACATATACCAGATAAAATATCTATCACCTACCTTAGTGACATGATGTGGTAAAGCACATATCACAGGGTTTTACCCAGAGTAATCACTGACACACCAAGCCTTTGGTCTGTGTTGCAGGACATATGTCCCCTGCAGCAGGGAATTTTAGCAAATACATGAAGATGTGGTAATAAAGGCAGGAAGATAAAGAGGAAGGGAGAAGTACATGAAATACTGATGCCCAGGGAGGTCTGGGCTCAGGACAGTTGTGTGAGAAGGTGACTGCAAAGCCACCAAGGAGATGGCCATTCACCAACTGACAGCCAAAGCTGAACCAGATTCTCATCTTCTCCACCAAGCTAGCAATAGTAAAAACCAAATTTCTTAATCAGAAAGTGTGGATGTCACAAGGTTTCTTGTGATGTGTAACTGAGAAGAATTTATGACAAATAGATCACTAAAGCATTATTACCATGGCACACCCCAGGAAAGAGGTCTGTTATACAAAACACTGAATGTGTTTGTTACAAAGAAATTTCAGGCGATGAAAGGACCACGAGAATGCGATGAGGCATTATGTAAACTCACTCAGTTTTCATAGCTTCTAAAATTACAGTTGGATAGAAACATTTTCAACTCATCAGTGAGGTCTGAAATATGTATATTCTTAATAATAATATATGTTTCATATATAAAGAAATCTTATTTCTTTTAGTCTGCATATGCAAAATAATGCAAAGAAATATTTAAATAGTTAAAGGCAAAAAATTCAGCAGTTCTAAGCAACAGTTAATACACATCACTAGATGATGGTACCTGAACTAAATAAATATAAAGTTTAAATGATATTTTGATGTTCTATTTCATTGGTTTGAGAAAGCATAGGTTTAGGATATAATTTAGTTATTAAACAAAATCCTTCAGTTGGATTTGCAGATCAGAGAAAATTAATATTTGGATTTAGTTCAGAGGTTGAGTAAATTAGCTCAGTTCACTCTAGGTTTGAGTTCATGGTTCAGTTCAAGTTCTTGATAATGAGCCCATCAAAATAAAAATATTGAAATAATGTACTCAGGGCTGACATTTAAGAGTAAGTGTTCAGGCAAATACGTGTGTGAAAAAAACAAACTCACTTTACAGAGAGAGCTAAGGTCAAATCCGAAGGTTTGAGCGTTCCGGGAGCCAGCATTCATGAAGTTCCCCATTAGCAACACAAGTTCCAGCAACTGGCTAAAGCTTTTGCTCCTCCTGATCTCCTCGCAGGCAGCACTGACAGCCATGATGTCAGGTTTGATGTTGTTCACCTGCTCTTCAAATTGAAGCTTAAAGAGAACAGCACTGAGCCGTGGCCGCAGTCTCTTCACATTGCTCATCTGATTGAAAAGAAAATAGCAGATTTCCTTTAAAATGCATGGTATACTCCAGCACTGTACCTCGGCAAGTAATCTGGGATGATTTATTGGTATGACAGTACGGAAGAAGCAATATGTCCCCCCGAAACTGATGGCAAGCAGAGGAGAGCTCTGCTTGTTTCTGTAAGGAATCCAGCCATCCTTCAAAAACAAAATTAACAATTCAGATGTGCAATGAAAAGAAAGCTTTAATGAAACAGTGAAATATAATTAAGCAATCAAATAAATATTTAAAAAAAATCAAAGTTTTAAGAAATGTAACAGGACACACTGGAAACAGACTACAAAGCAGTCACATCAACACTAAATAATCTTTGTTCAATACTGAAATACACTGGGTCATGTTTAAAACATATTCAGAAAGGTCTAAAAAGGGTTTGTTTGCCTCAAATAGCAATCGCCGTCCTCAGATGCCCTGCTGACTAACAGTATGTGTTAGATAGAGGGATAGTAAATAGGTCCCAATTTGTACTAAATTGACTTTCTTCAGAAACACAGAAAGTGGAATGACTCCTGACACATACTAAATTAGCAGGATCAGAGATGGGAAACACGGGCCTAGCAGGAGACAGAGTGGCACAAAGGCACGGGGCCTCACCGGCCAAGGAACCTTAGGGGGACTCAGTTTGGCTGCTGAGACTAGGAAGGCTAGTGTGTGAGCAAGAACAAAGGGCCCCATTCTTCCCTTCACACCCTCTGTTCTAGCTACACAGGAGGAAAAAATCCACTCAGGTGGAGCTAGAAAAGGCTCTCAGTTACGATGAGTTCCTTAATGAATCACATTAGCAATATGAGGTCTTGGTAACACTGACGGGGCAGAGATAATAAAACTGCTGAAGCCGATCAAGCAAATATCAAAAGATGTTTGAGGCGAAGACAGATAACCATGAGACAACACAACAGGATTAGAAGAGATGAAAAGTCTCATGTCCAAGATCCTAAAAGAAAGAGTAAAATGTAATGTCAAATAAAGCCTAGATGGACACAGGTATAATAAAAATCAGGATTGTTCAGGAAAATAAAATTAATTGTTATTTAAAATAGGTGTGACTGGAGACTCGGTGGTAGAGGAATTGCATAGTATACATAAGGCCCTGGATTAGACTCTGATTTAAAAAGAGGGTACAGACTTCCTTAATACTTGACCAGCCTTCTGAATTTAAAAAAATGGAAAATAAAACAATGACTCGCAGTAGACACCTTTGAGTAAATAGCTTCTAAGGAGACAAGTCCTCATAGTGCTTGATGTTTTATCAGAGTAACATAAGTAGTAATTTATCTGCAGCCACGTGGCATGTCATGTGTGTGCAGTGCAATAAGAAAGCTTCTAAAGAAAGAAGCTAGCTTAACTAGTAAAAATTCCACACCACAGGCACCATAAATGCTTTCCATTTCCTTGGTTTCAAAGAATGTCTGCAATTCCCATCTAGGGAAAAATAAAAGAAAACAAAAACAAGAAACACCTTTTCTCTTACAATACAGTAAAAAGACAGTAGACTCTACAAAGATAATTTAATGTGTTTTATCGCTTAAGCAATATAAACTTATAGAAAGAGAAAAGGTCACTCTATTATAAAATTAAGTCCTATGTAAAAGTGGTACATGAATTGATCCTTTTAGATATCTAACACAAAAAGTAGGGATAAATGGTGATTACCTCTCAGAAAATCATTTCATTTGGCTTAAAATGCATCTCATGACCAGATTAACTTGCCCAGATTATTTTTTAATCCTTAAACATTGTGATGGTAGATACCCACATACCTTGGTAGTATGGATGCTACTGTATTAAATTTAATACCTTTAGAATAGTGAAGGACACAGAAGAGGACTACAGTGTAGGACATATAATCATGGCCACTGAAAGAGGAATGATGACCCATGACATCTCTGGTTTTCCTCAGTCCACATTGGGATTATAAAACCAGGTGCAGGCACTTTACAGGTAACATTGGAAATAATTCTCTAGTACCCATGCAATGCTGAGATATTGCAAAAATGTGTTAATTCTAGCACATATTAATGTACTATTTTATGCACAAAGAGGAAGAGGGAAAAATGGCTGTTTAAATGCCTATATTATACCACCCCAAAATATGCTAAAGTTTTCCTTCTGACAAGCTAACCATATGTAGCCACCACAAAGTAATTAATTTTCCTAGAAAAACATAACCCAGATTTGTATGACTAATGAGTGTATCTGGCACAGAGGACAGGTACCTTGAAAAGAGAAAGTCTATGATGTAATGCTGAATAAAGGGCTACATGTTCGTGAAAATCCTGACAAAGCAAAGTCATGGAAGGTAACCTAAGCAGCAGCTGGGAGAAGGATTTTTGTTTTCATTAGCTCTCTGGTTCATATTGTTCTTTCCTGTAAACTTGGATAAATTAGTATTGGGCTGTTACTAATTACATGTCTGAGGCAAAAGGACTGTGCTAGCATGGAAAATGGAGGTCCACCTCAGCTCCTTGTGTTGAACGGATTCCTTGTTTAAGGATGAGGACTACCTCAGAGCAACAGTCCAACAACAGAAGGAGTAAGGGCAGGATTTAAACCAAAGTTTGCCTCTTCAGGTAGACTAAAATTTTAAAACAATAAAGGTGGGGGAAATAATGTATAAACTTGAAAAACATTTTCTGTTCCTCACCATTCCCCATATTTTATCAACACTGAGAACTCACATTCTGCTCTTAGGGAACTGTCAGTCAGTTGAACGCAGAACGGGAGTGTATGGTGCTGTCCCAGTACTCCGAGTGGCAACAGAAAGTCACAGAGGAGACAGCAGATGGGAAACCGAACAGTGGGGCAGGAAGAATAAGAAAACTGGCCTGCAAGCTAAATCATGAGAACGGCAGGGGGGAAAAAACTATGAGTGCCTTTTACAGTTAAGATTACTGTTTATATTTGTAATATAAACTCAAGATACCCAAATCTATCATACTGATTTATAATCTGAAGATTGAGACAAAAAATTAAAAGGTGCTTTGACTTCAGTTGTACTTTTGAAAACTTAAAAAAAAAAAGAGAGAGAGATGTATTTTATGTGAGTGAGTGTTGGGCATGCATGTCTGTGCACCATGTACCTGCAGTGCATGCAGGGGCCAGGAGAGGGCACGGATCCTGGGAAACTAGAGCTGCAGCACCATGGGAATGGAACCCAGGTTTTCTGGGAGAGCAGGGGAAAAAAAAAAAAAACCACTGAGGCCTCTCTCTAGCCTATCAGTCCTATTTCTGAAGGCACAGTAGTACAGTGGATGCCACCATTCACAGATAACACCAGCTGGCTGGAGTGCTAACCAGAGCAGAGCATACAAGAAGCAAGGTCACAAAGAAGGGAACTTCTAGTTTAAAATTTGTTATTGGGCACATACACGAGTGATGGCATAGCAAAATGCAAACGTAATAAAAAAAAATCAACAAAGCAACGAGAACAGACTAGACCCATTCTGCACTATGAGAGTCACAGAAGAATAACTATTGTGTTTGGAGCCCACCTCTTCTCATTTAGTACTGTCTTGAACAGTGGAAGATATAACATCCCATAATTTCATTATGGGATAATTTTATCCATTATTCCATAGAAGAAAGCAAATCAATTTGTGAATTTTCTGGCAACTGTGTATTAACACGTAATATAGTTTTCCTTAGAGTGTCTTTTATTAAAGTCGGGAGTTGGACTTATTAAAAACTAGAAAGATTTTTCTCCTCTTCTACTTGGCAGAGTTTATACATTCTTATCTCACAAGAAACTTAAGTGATCAGTCTCTTTGTCAATATTCCTTAAAGTCATAAAACTAACCAGTGAAGTTTCCAACACTACATTTAACCTGTTTATGAAAAAGATATCAGTTCCAATCCTAATTGCCTTAATGTTCCAGATGCATGCCTCACTATAAGGGACGATGGAACAAGGTCTCCTGTAACATGAATCTTAAATAGTCTTATTAATAAAAAAAAACTAATAAAAAATAGTGCCAGCTATTGGGGTGGGTAAATTCTGAAAGATCAGAGAGACAGAACAAGCCACAGCTAGCCTCACCTCAACAACTTCTCAGCTGATTCTGTTTCCTCAAACTGGAAGCCTCTGAGTCCTTATCCGAAAAGATCTCAACTGAACTTCTGCTAAAAGCCTAAAAGCTTAACAGCCTCTAGTTCCTGGTCCTCACACCTTATATACCTTTCTGCTTCCTGCCATCACTTCCTGGGATTAAAGGTGTGTGTCACCATGCCTGGCTGTTTCCAGTGTGGTCTCAAACTCAGAGACCCAGATGGATCTCTGCCTCCCAAGTGATAGGATTAAAGGTGTGTGTGCCACCATTTTCTGGCCTCTCTGTCTATGTAGTGGCTGTTCTGTTCTCTGACTCCAGATACATTTATTAGGGTGCACAACATATTGGGGAACACAATATCACCACAGCCTCCAGCTACTTTGCACCTTAGCACCACCACTCAGAGGACCAGAGTGTGGAAATTCACAGTCACAATGTATAAACCATCTGGAATGGACCTCAAGCTCCACGTACTATGTTTTCTTATGAACATGATCTTTAATTTCCCAAACCCAGTTTCTAGGCAACACATCACATCACAGAGCATGGTCCTTGCAGCTTTGGCCTGCTATCCTCTCGATGGCTTTCAGGTCTCCTTCATACACAGGGCTGTTCCCGACAGTGCTGAGATGTACGTACTCCTAAAGATCTGCTTCTCTAACATCCTCTGCTTAGACTTGGTGGAGAGTGATCTTTCCCTTTTCTGTGGGGGAGGGCTGATAAGCAAATGGGTGGTCAAAACAGCAACTCTGCTTCTGAGAAGCAAGGGCAGCACTTGGAGAAGGAACTAGGACCTAACAGGAGTGGAGACATTAAAATAAAGTTTTAAACTCGCTCTTTCTAATTGTGTGAAAAAAATATGTCTATCTTCCACTGTTAGCAGGCCAATATGTTCATGATCTCCAGAAAAC